GTGCCCCCCCTGCCATCCTGGTCATCCCCAACTGCCCCCAAGCCGGCCTAGTTGCCCATCACTGCCCCCCCTGCCAGCCTAATTGCCCCAATACCTCCCCTGCCCGCCTGGTCACCCCTAACTGCCCTCCCGCCAGCCTGGTTGCCTCTTACTGCCCCAACCAGCTAGCCTAGTCACCCCCAACTGCCCCCATCTGCTGGCCTGTTCACTCCTAACTGGCCCCCCAAGTCAGCCTGGTCACCCCCAACTGTCCCTCCTGCTGGCCTGGTTGCCCCCAACTGCCCCCCCTGCCGGCCTGGTTGCCCCATGCAGCCTGCTGTTCAGTAGTTTGGTTGTCCCTCACTATCACCCCTGCCAGCCTGGTTGCCCCACACAGCCTGCTGTTCAGTCATTTGGTCATCCCTCACTAACCCCCCTGCTGGCCTGGTCACCCCACACAGCCTGTTTGTTCAGTCGTTTGGTCATCCCTCACTTACCCCCCTGCCGGCCTGGTCGCCCCACGCAGCCTGCTGTTCAGTCGTTTTGTCGTCCCTCACTAAACCCTTGCCAGCCTGGTTGTAGGCAGCCATCTTGTGAGGGTGTGAGGGTTAATTTGCATATTACCTCTTTATTATATAGGATTATTTACAAAAGAGATTTTTTAAAGATTAGTGGGAAATATACAGTTTTGTTTAAAATATCCTGGGAAATAATTTTTTTTTATTTGACATATTCTTTATTCTTTGGTCAGGCCATGATTCTGTTCAAGGATGGTTCGATTCACAGTAGCTGTTTTACCCTTATTTTTCATCATGACCGCTGACTTTTTCTTAAGTAGTTGTTTTATTTCAAGTTTGTTGCATTGATAATAACAGAATATCAACTTACCAGTGCTTAAAGTAGAAATCCATCAATTCTTTATCCCTTTTCCCATAATTATTTCCTCCTTACATCTATTTCTTTTCTCTGAGTCTTTTCAGTTCTTAGGCTGACAATTTTTTTTCCTTCACACCCCACAACGTGCTTAGGAGAGCCTGTGGACAATTCATTAAAAATACATCTAGAACCTCACTTCTCAACACCTCAACTGCTAACCTAGTCCAAGCTATGGTTATCTCTTTCTACTGCAGTTTGACAATCTGTTTGAGGCAGCTCTGCCTCTGTATCTATTATTGTTCATAAGTTTATAATGGTCTTTATTATCCATGAATGAGTGAGATCATGTGGTATTTTTCCTTCATTGACTGGCTTATTTCACTTAGCATAATGCTCTCCAGTTCCATCCATGCCGTTTAAAATATCCTGGGAAATAATTTTTTTTAAAGGAAGAAAAAGATCGCCCAAATAGTTGGCCATACCTAAAATTCCCATCTATATATAAACATTAGTACTTCCATCACTAGTACTTCCCTCACCTCAGACACCTCACAAAAAATAAATATTTATTTCATGCATTATTGATTAGTCTATTAGAATTCCAATGTGAATATGAAAATGACAATATTTTTTAAAAGGTCTGAGCATAAAACTCATTAGTTTTAGTTCTCAAAATTAAAACTTTATTTTCTAACCTTTCTACCTCAATTCATTTTTCATAGATAATTAAGATATATGAAAACCCTTACTTTTGACTGAAAACCTTTATTTCTTAACCTT